TCTAGTAGTTGCGAACTGCCTGGCTAGCAGACACACTCACACAGCATGAGCACATCTGCCAGCCAGGCAGTTCGCAGCTAAGGATTGATACACCTAATAATAATAAAACTTACCTAATTAGAAAATACTGGACATTTTATATGTCCAGTATTTTCTCAATTTGGTTTCTGGACAAAACCCTCAAATACCGGACTGTTGAGTCTAGTAGTTGCGAACTGCCTGGCTAGCAGACACACTCACACAGCATGAGCACATCTGCCAGCCAGGCAGTTCGCAGCTAAGGATTGATACACCTAATAATAATAAAACTTACCTAATTAGAAAATACTGGACATTTTATATGTCCAGTATTTTCTCAATTTGGTTTCTGGACAAAACCCTCAAATACCGGACTGTTGAGTACAAAACTGGACACCTGGCAACCCTACCACTCCTTGCACCCTCCCTCCTAGCCAGATACCCTACCCCCAGTCTGCTCCTGCTCCCACCTCCTGAAGTGCCCATGCGGTGCCGGGTCCCCCAAGCCCTGGCCCAGGCTGGGCAGAGGATGCAGCTGGGTGAGAGACTGAAAATGTATTAATTTTTAATTCCTTTTTTTTTATATGCGTTTCTATTTTGGGGCTGCAAAAAACAGTACAGGCAGTCCCCGGGTTACATGGATCTGACTTACATCAGATCCCTACTTACAAACAGGGTGAGGCAACCCCGCACTAGCTGCTTCCCCCCAGCAGACCAGGGAGACACGAAGCTAGTGTCCCCCCCCCCCAGCAGACCAGGGAGACGCGGAGCGGCTTTTCTCAGCAGACACCTCAGCTTGAGAATAAAGGACTGAGGGAAGTGAGGTGTGGGAGGAGAAAACTGAGCTCTGGAGAAATGTTTGGCTAGAGTTTCCCCTACAATGTGTACCAGTTCCGACTTACATACAAATTCAACTTAAGAACAAACCTACAGTCCCTATCTTGTACGTAACCCGGGGACTGCCTGTACTGGAAAAAAACTGGCTTTTCTTTATGGTAACATTTCAGTGCTCCATACTAACTGATGATGGATACATTTCACCCAGAAAATGCTATTGCTTTCTGCTCCTCCTCCTGCTGCTGCTATGGTTACATATAGTGACACAACTTCTTGTTCTGACAGTGACAATGATGAGGTATACTTAAAGCTGGGTAAAGATGAGAGGTTACAAAGTAAAAAAAACCCAATTCTCGGATGACAGATCCAATGGCATTGGAGCAACACAATGTAAAACCCTAAGCTAATAAACCCATTTTTAATAACCATTTTTATTTTTGTTTAGGCATAGTACAGGATCTCATTAGTTAGCTCTAAGTCCAGAGCCATTATTTGTGTTGCTTGATGTCAACAAATATCTGGAGTTCATATTGTAGTTGGGAGCAGGCTCTCAAAACACTTCATTCTGCTTTCCTCTTTTATTATACATTCAGAGACTTGTTCCCAATTTGTGTGTTGTTTTTTTTTTTTTTTTTTTTTTTTTTGCTAGGGATGGGGGCAGTGTGTGAATCCTCCCCCTCCTCCCCAGGCACCTAGAGCAAAAAGCCACAGGGAGCAGCCAGACATTTTGAGCAGCCTGGCATGGCAGGCATGGAGCCTGCTTTGAGGTTTCACAGGGCTGTTGGCTGGAAGTTGCCTAAGGCATAGTGTCCTGACCATAGCCTGCCTCTAGCATACCAGCCTGTTCCTCCCCCAACTCTTTGTCCCAGGTAATCACCCCTTCTTGCCTCAGGTCACCATCTAAACCCTCTGCATTCTGTTCCTGTCCTTGCCCAGATCACAACTCCCTCTGAGACCCTGAAACTCCCCCTAACCCTCTCCCTCAGGCCAGAATCCTCTCCTGTACCCATGCCCCTTCTGGACCCTGCACCCCAAGCACCTATCCCAGATCACAACCTTTTCTTCACCCATACTCACTCTGAGACCCCACACCTCTCCTGTACCTCAGTCCCCTTCCCCAAGCTCCTTTTGGTACCCAATCTCCATCCCCTTGATCAAGTGTAGCGCTTGACCAATTTGCAAAATGTTAGAGTGGTACCCCTCCCATCAAAAATTGTCCTTTAGTCTACTTGATCTGGTGATTGAGCTCAGGCAAAGGAATGGAGTTCCCCTGTTGGCTTGACTATGTAATAATAAAAGCTTCAGAGGGGTAGCAGAGTTAGTCTGTAACTGGAAAAACTTAAACAACAAATAGTCTTGCAGCACCTTAGAGACTAACAAAACATGTAGATGGTATCATGAGCTTTTTGAGGGCACAGCCCACAGAAATGGGTTGTGCCCACAAAAGCTCATGATGCCATCTACATGTTTTGTTACTCTCTAAGGTGCTTCAAGGCTATTTTTTGTAGTTGCTGTTTTTTAAATATAACAACATATTTTCACTGCCTGGAAGCTCAGAAGAGGTTGGAGTTTTTGACAACTTTTACCACCAGAAACTTTTTTTTTTTAAAGTTCTGTTCAGGTTTGGCATTGGACATACCCAGCCTGATAAATCTTTCAATTTAGAACCCTTCAGGTTTCCTCAGTTCTGGTGAATTTTATTTTTAAGTCAAATCTAGATTGACTTGACTCAAACTGGTGTCCCTTTGATACATCTAGGAATATTTTTGAAGAGGAGATGCACATATAGGCTGATTGCTGGGATATATGTAAAGAATAGTCATCTTGGACCCTCTTACTGGTAGTTTTTGAAGTGATATGCCTTTCTCTAGCTTAAAGATTGGATGGCTTTGTTACCTGTTTTGATTCTTTGCAAAAATTAGCTGAATGTTTATTACTGTTTATTCCTTTTTTCATTAGCACATGTTTCTTGATGGGGCCTGTGAAGCAGTTGAAAAAAATGTTTGAGCCAACAAGATTAATTGCTACAATTGTTATGCTGGTAAACTACATTTACTAATTTTTTAAAAACTTTAAAATATTACTGCATGGGCTGGGGTTGGAGGAGAGGCAGCAGATCCAAGATGGATTGGAAAGAAGAATTGCCTGATGCACAATAAGGGTACATCTACACTACGCAGCTATTTCAGAATATCGGAGGTATCCCGAAACAGCTACCCCATATCTTAACAAGTCACCTGTTACTTCAAAATATTTTTTGAAATAACGGGCATGCTATTTTGGCATCCCTGTATCCCTCATTCCACGAAGGCTAAGAGAGATTTTGAAATAGTGTGTTATTTTGAAATCTGGCACTGTGTAGAAGCTTCAAATTTCAAAATAAGATAGTTTGAAATAGAATCGAAGTAAGATACGCAATTTGTGTAGTACAAATTGCGTATCTTATTTTGAGTTAGGGTGCTGTGTAGATGCATCCTATTTTTTTATTCGATTATTATGTTCTGGATTAATAATCATTTTTTAACATTACCCAGTCTTTCTCATCAGATTCTATTTTCAGTTGCTCACAAATTTTGCCAAACTTCATATTTTGGCTGAAATTTTCCATGCCAGGTAATTCAGTTGAAAAGTTTTAGTACCAGGATAAGTTGGAGCAGGTATCTGAATTTTGCCAGGCTGCTTTGATGTGAGGTTGTGTCTTTTGCCATCCCTCTAAAAATTCCTCCAATCCCCACAGTTTGGCCAGATTCTAAACCTTTGTGACCTCACATTGCTTATCATCAGTGGAGACTTGTTAGAGCATCACCGGTAAAATCAGCTGGGGCTGAGCAGAAATTTCTCAAAAGTTAAATGAAATACAGAATTACTAATCTGTAGAAAATTTGAGTTCTTGTTGCATTTGTGAATCTTTTTTTGTTTTGTTTTTTCCTGAAATGTTTGATTGGGAGCGAGTGGGGGCAGAAATTCCAGTTTCTGGTCAGCTCTAGATTCTGTCCCTGACTGCCACAGCGTTCCTCTGTGGTGTTGGGCTGGTCACTTCAAAAAATAACCTTTTCACACATGAGTACTAATTGTGTGTTCTGAGTGCCTGACTTAAAACTCTAGGATCTAATTTGTAGAAGTGGTGAGGACTTCAGCTGCAATGGAAGTCAGTGGGAACTGTGTTCAGAACATAAAGTGCTATCTAATGCTAAGACTTGGAAAAATCAGGTTCTAGGTGTCCCCGATTGGGCACACAAAACTAATGGATACTTTGGACCTTAATTTCTCTGTCCCTTTGGAGCTTAATTTCTCTGTCCCTCAGTTCCATAGCTGTAATGTGGGGATAATACCTAGTCATCTCACAAGGTTTTCTGCAGATCAGTTCATTTAATATTTGTGAAACACGCACTGTAATGATAATGCCATAGAACTACTAATTTCCTCATGATCCTTTCTATTTTCAGAGCACAGGCCATACGTTGAACCATGAAGTTAAAACAAAATATTGTATACCTGTTCTTTTAATGAACAAAATCCATTCTGTACACCAAATTAGGCTAATTTTGAGCACAGGTCATGTAATTAAAGACTATCATAATGCATATGTGCACAGAGGCCAAATTAAAAACTGCACAGACCAACCTTATTTCTGGAATTTTGTGACTTCTGAGTGCTAGACTTAACAACTTGAAAGTTACTTACATGTATTTTAATGTAATTTATGTTGTTACAGCTCTGTGTGGTTATATGCATTGTACATCTGCACAGGAAAATAGTCTTTGTTCCAAAGAATTTAAAATAGAGATGTTAAGGACTATCCGACAAACATATGCTTATCGGATACAGGCAGTCCCCGGGTTACATCAATCCGACTTACGTCAGATCCCTAGTTACAAACGGGGGGGAGGGCACAGCTAGTGCGGGGTGCCTCCCCCACTGTCGCCGCCTCCGGCGGCGTGGGGGGCGCTTTCCCCCAGCAGACCGGGGAGATGCGGAGCGGCTTTTTCTCACCGCGGAGAACGCGGGTCTGCTGGGGGGAACAAGACACCAGCCAAAAGGGGGCACCCCAGAGCGGAAAAATTAATTTCCTAGGGAACAGCAGGAGCAGCAGGCAGTGAGACCCCATTGTGTTACAGTCCCCACC